CTAAGAAGAGATTGTAAATTCAAGTTATGTTACAAAATTATTCTAAGGAGAGTGTCTGATTCCTGGACCACCTGGCTTTTAAACATGATGTTCAAGACTTTCATTTAATCACTCTTTTCAGATGCCTAATAATAGAGTTTACTATTTGCCATGTAAACTTTCATAATTCTCATAGGAGAAGAGGTGTGGTGATGTGAGAGCTATTCTAGAGGGGCAAGGAATGTTAATCTTCTGTGTCATTGTTCTTCCCTAGCTCTTAGAAGCCACTGGGCCTTGTTACGCTTGTGGATAATAAAGTGACATTTCCTGCGAACATATAGGGAAGAAAACATGGCCGTCTTGTTGAAACTCTCAACAGAGACTGTGTCATGCTTTCAGTTTTGTGTTCTCCAAAACCTTACAGTTTTGGCAACACAAAAACTCAAATCATAATGCCTCATGATCTCAATTGAAGGCAGTGTATTGATTGGATTCTCTGATTTTTAAGCCAAATGCTCGTGTATGCTTTTGTAATTACCAGGTCACCATGCCATTAAATCTCCACTGGAAACAACTTTTATAAATGTATCCTACATAGTTTATGGATCTCTGGTCTAATCTATGCAAGTTCTGCTTTGAAAGGTTATTTAACACATTCTTTCTTCTCACTTATCTTCCCCATGAAAAAACTATCCTACATTCTACGTATAAAAGGTATTAGTTCTAAAACTTTATTTTTAAAATGTACTTTTTGTCCTTAATTTAAAAAAATGTCTGATTCCTGTAGCTCTACATTATCTCTACAATAATTATGTTCTTAAAGTGACCGTTGTAATCTCAATAATAGAGTATTCTGTTTCAGCTAAGGGGAAAAAATGAACAGAAGAAAGCCAAGAAGTAAAACTTGGAAGATACTGAAGTTTTCCTTTATTTTTGTTGGCATATATGTATGAATGTGTGTGTCTGATTTGCCTTTTAGCTTTTCACTGAGTATGGCAGACTGGCAATGGAGGAAACATTCCTGAAGCCATTTCAGGTGAGTGGGAAGAAAATGAAATTTTTATTAGATTTTCCTGAAGATTATAATCAAATATATTAATTATTTAAGAGAGTCATGTTTCTTTCTCTTTTTCTTTATTTCTTTCAACATCCATTTTTGAATACTTATTTCATGTTATTTGATGCAAGGAGGAGATAGAAATAAATGGGAAAAATATAAAGATGTTTAGACATTTTGGTTCCTGCATGAGTATCAGCTTTCCTTCCTGAACTCAACCCTGGAGCTGTCATAGAAGCCGGAAGAAAATTGATGAATTTGTCAGACATAAAAGCTAAAAACAGCCAACCAACCAGACTCCTGGGACAATAGGACAATAGGAGTTTGTTGCTGGCCATGGCAAAAGCAAGCTGAGCACCAGAGACAGGATGTTGGGTGGGGAGTGTTTTTGGAGATGCCCTTTTCTCTTACGTGTGGACTTGCATGCACCAGTACCTTTTCCATTGCCGTTGAGGAGCAGAAGCACAACGACCAGCTCAGCTCCTGCTACAGGCAGCAGGATAACATCAGGGCAATGTTTGAACTTGGATTGGGTGATATAAGGAGTCTGTCTGATCCTTTAATGCTCCCTTCTGAAGCCCCTACCTTACTTTATATCCCATGGTTAAGGAGATTATAACTAAGCCAAACACCTTGAAAACAGTTCCTGGAGGAGGTTTAGATTTAAACACCAAAAACTGATCACCGGAAGCATAACTCCTTCCACTTCAGCTTATCAGAGAGAACTCAGGGTAAACCCTCAAATTTAGCTCCTTCCTCCAGGTATATATATCACCAGCCAAGATGGTTCATATTCCTAGGGAAATGTGAGTATGCAGAGAAACTGAAAATTAAAGGACAAAGTAGAGTAAATGTATTAGATGACAAGTAATTTAAAATGAGCTATATATTAGTTATCTGTTGCTCCATACAAATTACCCACAAACCACAAACATTTATTATCTCACATAGTTTTTGAGGGTCAGGAAGTGACTTAATCAGTGTGGTTTTGCTCAAGGTCTCTCATAAGATAGCTGTCAATGTGTTGGCCAGAGGTGTATTCTCTGAAGACTTGACTGGACTTGGAGGATCTTTTTCTAAGCCCACTCCCCTGTCTAGTAGCTGTTGTTGTTACATGTTGTCGAGTCAGCCCCAACTCATAGCGACCCCTCCTTGGGTTTCCAAGGCAGTATCACTACGGAAGTAGGATTGCCCAACCTTCCTTCCAAGGAGTGGCTGGT